GTGTATAAGAGACAGCGTTAAGGCTCCGGGCCGGAGAGTACGTGTCTCAGGGGGAGGAGAAGGTGGCGGCGGGGCCGGTGCGGAGCAGCCGAGCGCCGCGGGGAGGGGTGTCAGCTCCAGCGCGTGGGGGATTTTAATCCGATTCCGGCCGGCCCGGATTTTATTGGGAGCGGGTTTTAAAGTGAGTATGAGCGGGATGGCGACGGCGGAAAAGGGGGGAGGGGCGGGACCGGACCGGATCAGACCGGCCCGGCGGGGGAGGGCGGCGGGCGGCCCCGCTGCGGAGGGATCGGGCGGGCGGTGAGCCGGCGGCCCTGCAGCACCAGCGCTTCCTTTGTTCTGGAGCTGCCTTTTGTTGGCGCCATGTGGTGGCTGGGGGAGGGGCGGGGAGCGGGTTTGTTGCCGTCTCACGCTGTAAAATGGAAGGGGATTTACCTCGGCTCGCTTCGCAGCCCGCGTTTTCCTCATCCTTTCCCTTTTTAACGAAAGGAGGGGAAGGAAGGAGTTGCTTTCTGTCGGGGGCTGGGCTGGTGCAAACTTTCTGGGGATTGCATGACCGATCGCCACCGGCGTCGGTGTAAATGCGAACATGTTTTGTGTAACGCGTATAAAATAATCCCGGCTTTGGGAGCTAATTGGGGTAAGCTAAGTATTTTTGGACGGAGTAAAGCAAAACCAGCACGTTTGAGGCGATATGCGGTGTGTTAAACTAGCAAGAGTGGTTTTGGTGTACTTCTTTGCAGCATTGTCAGAAAAAGGCTTATCTCTTCCGAGTGATTTCTGGAGGAGTCGGTGTAGTTTCGCTGTATTTTGGTAGTGGCATCCTTGTTTAGAAAAGTCATTTATTACCATAGTTGGTCTGTTTATGAATATACATGCCAGACCTGAAAAATACCTGCTTGCTTCTCAAGTGGGTCTTTGTGATTCAAGCTACCCCATGTATTTAATTGGAACTCTTTGTTATCCCTGAGACCTGAACCAGAGGGTCGTTTCCCTCGGGTTGAACAGAGGGCTGATGCCACAGCAGCCTAACAGATTTTGGCTTTAAGGGAAGGATTAAGTTTCGCAGGTTTCCTGTAAGCTGGGGCCGGACGTACCTTTTGCAGACACTATAAGGATTGAGAACCATGTCTTTTAGATCTCTGCGATTTTTCTTTTTACGTCTTTAGAATTCTGCCCTGAAATGTGGGTGATACTCTTTCCCTTTTTTAGATAGGTGACAAATTGTAGCCCCAAATCTGTGTGAAATGGAACTTCCAAGAAAAGCAGTTATTTAGAAGGGTTGACCTGTGTGGAAAATTTAGCTCTGTACTAAAATGAGAGCTGTCCAAGGCAGAGTTCAGGATGCTGACATTAGAGTATTTTGTTAAGAGCTGAAACATGCTTTGATTTAGCTGCACAAAAACACTCAGGAGGGGGAAAAAAAGAGACTACGTGTTAAAGAGTGCAATTTTCCAGTTTTTGTGGCCCCTGAAGGCAAAGCCAAACACTAGGAATTTAGTCTTAATTTTAAAGGACCTGTATAGTGTTATTTAAACACGTGTAGGTATCAATCACTCCAAAACAAAGGTCTGTAAATTACAAAGTGTAATATCTGTGGCTGTGGTAAGAGGTGAATTTAGCATGTGGCAGTATCTGTGTGTGTCCCACAGCTCCATCCCAATGGCATAAAGCAGCTGAAGCTGCCTCCAGACAAATTCCTGTCATCTTGCAATCATTGGATCTCTCTTGATCGTTTTGTAAGTGCAGACAATGATGGCAGGGTATGCTATGGGAAAACCACTGTTGGTCTGTACAGATCATAGCAGTCATGCTTGGTCAGTAAGCTGTTGTGATGAGAAGGAAACCCATCAAGTTACCTTCCTTTCACCTCATATTGAAAGGCTTAGCAAACTTGTACGGCCTTTTCTGTAAGGCTCTGTTGTAATGGCTGCAAGAAGCACACAGACTTTACTTGGACTGTGTCATGCTGCACTTGTCAGTTAAAAGTGCACAGCTTGATATCCTGAAAAAATAAGGGTTTAGCCTACAGGAGATACAGTTTCATCCGGTTTAAGGGGGGAAAAAACACCCACCCTATAGCACCTACAGTTTCTTTTTCCTCACATTACCTTTTGAACATAAATGGATACTTGTTTTAGCAAAAAAGCCAAAGTTACACAAACACCAAAAACCCAATTTTACTTAATAGTCTAGTTTCCAAAGTGCTGCTAGCTTTAGTGCAAAATCTAGGTTGCCTTTAAACAGAGTAATGACAACTTAAACTGCTTTAGTCTATAGTTAGATAAAAAGTCTCAAATGCTTTTAAAAGCTTAGTTTGTTACCTTGGAAACTCTGAAAATAGAAAATACAGCCATGTTATTAATGTTTTCATTTGAAGTGAGGCATTTGAAAACTACCTTATTGACATCATCTGAGTGTCGTTAGCTTCATGTCTGCATTGTGCTTCACTAGTATTTAGTTCTTTGAGATGCTTCAGAGGATATTTTGTGTGGGAAAGTGGGCAGGAAGTACTGTATTGGCCTTTCATGAGAGTAAAGACTAATAGTGGAGATGCCTCTGTAGTACTGATGAAGATAGAACTAGATTCAGTAACTAAGCAGGAACAAGTGCACAATGTAGTAATTAAGGCAGGTCCAAAGTCCCATCCATTGTATGTGACTGTTCTTGGAGGTCATAGATACCTGGTTTAAATTTTGCAGGTTGTTTTTAGGACTAAAAGTTTTATAGCCCTTTGTCCAGATCCTAAAAAAGCTCAGGTATTTTGCTTTTGGTGCATGATTCTATCCTGAATGCTTTCAAAGCAGGAATGATGCTAGGTTCTTTTGAAAACGAAGTTGACAGTACTTGATATAGTTGATGCTGTTTTGTCACAAACAACAAAAAAATTTCAGAATACTGCTGAAAGAATGTAGGAAATATTTTAGGCAGTTTTTACTGTTTCTTATAGTCTGTAATAAACTTCAGGGTGCCTCGTGTCAGTCCCTGAAAAAGGGGGGAACCTACCCTTGTACACTCCTATAGTAATCACAAGCTTTTCACAAGATGCAAAAGTGTGTAACTTTGAACAGTTGGTCCTGTTTCTGACAATGCTGCTGGGGTTGTGTACCACTGCAAGCATCTTGCTGCATGTGCTTTTCTGCAGTACTTCCTAAATCTAAATAGCTTTTATCTCTTTGAAATTTCAGGAAGATGTTCGTTGGTGGCCTCAGCTGGGATACAAGCAAAAAAGACTTGAAAGATTACTTCACCAAATTTGGTGAAGTAACTGACTGTACGATAAAGATGGACCCCAACACAGGAAGATCCAGAGGCTTTGGATTTATTCTCTTCAAAGAACCTGGGAGTGTTGAAAAGGTGAATTTAAGCTTCATATTTCAGATTCTTAACTTCTAGGGGAAACTTTTCTGCTTGAGTTAATCATATCAAACTATGTTTCAGGTTCTGGAACAGAAAGAACACAGGCTAGATGGACGACTAATTGACCCCAAGAAGGCCATGGCAATGAAAAAGGATCCAGTGAAGAAAATATTTGTTGGTGGACTAAACCCAGAAGCCACAGAAGAGAAAATCAGGGAATACTTCGGAGAGTTTGGGGAGGTGTGTAATGTTACCTTAGTAAACATTGAAACATAGTCTCCAATTGCTGTTTAGTTCACCAATAATTTTCAAGTTGCAAATTAAATTGACTTCACATGGGTCAAGCCTTCCGTAACTGATCCAGAGGTTTCCCATTTTGAGAGCAAGACAGGCACATACTGCATTAGATGCTTCCATGGCTAGTTAGATAGCCTTGCCTTTAATTCAAACCATTTTGTCTTATGTTAAAATTATTTTTCGGAGTTGTAGAACTGAAACCTCTGTTCTGAAATCCAATGTTAGTATAGGAAGAATACTGCAATTTTGGTGTTGCATAATATGCACTTAACTGATCTCCTAAAATAGAAGTCTTTTCAATTTAATGTCTTCAGATTGAAGCAATCGAACTTCCAATGGATCCGAAGACCAACAAAAGGAGGGGGTTTGTGTTCATCACCTTCAAGGAAGAAGATCCGGTGAAGAAGGTTTTGGAGAAGAAATTCCACAACGTCAGTGGAAGCAAGGTAAAAACTCTGACTTGTGAATTTCTGTTCAAGTTCTTTAGCATAATACCACTACATCTCTAGTCTGAAAAGGATTTTGTAGACCTCTGATCTCAAGGTACCAAAATTTAAAATGAGGACAGCTTGCAGTTTACCATAGGGGTGTTTTACCATAAGCTCAGTCACAGAGGCTGCCAAGGGCCTTTGCCAATACTTGTGGCTTTAATACTTGCTATGTTCTGGGGGCTTTTGCATGTACAGTATATAATTACATTCATTAAATGCACATGGAAAAACTGGCTTATTTATGGTCTAGCAATATAAGCCATTTCATCAGATAAATAACTATTTTCAGCATTAAGCACTTGCATAAATTCAAGGCTTACAGGTGCTACCTTTGTAAACAGCTGACTGAGCCTGGCTCTGTCAGATGTGGGGGCAGCTTCTGGTGTCTTCTCAGAAGCCTCCCCTGCAGCCCCCCCCCTACCAAAACCTTGTGAGGTATAAACCCAAGACAAGGATCCAGAAAGTAAACATATGCTTGTGGCAACCTGTACCTGGTCAGCTGAACTACTGTAAAAGTTGTGTGAGATGTCCTGAACAGCTGACTGCTCATCTGTGGGAGTAGCTAATAAATAAAGGCTCATGTGTCAAGCTAATGAGAAGAGGACTGGAGGCAAATGATGTGTGCTGACTGGAGGTTACCCTCTTCCCTTGCTCTGTGGCCAGTGCTGACTGTATGCTCACTTCAAAGCCCTATTAGATCTGGTCATACTGTCTGACACAGTAGTTTTTGTTTGCACTGAGTTTAAGCCTGATCTTGACACAGCACAGAAGAAACTTCAGCAAACCTAACGTGCTGGTAGTTGTCAAGACACTGTAGTTAGCAGTAAAGTTTGTTTTCAGGAGAGATGAACACTTACGTGCCAAGGGAGCTGAGAAATCATACCTGTATCTCATAACTATGGCTTGTTTTTATGTCATAGTGATAATATAAAAAGAGCAGGTTACCTTAAAGCTCCTGTGGGGAAGAATTCCAAGCCAGGCTTGCTCAGATGCTGCTGTCACAGGGAGTTCCTTTCACAGCAGCAGTAGCTTTCATCTCAGGAACTAGGAAGCTGGCTTGACAGCTTGAACTGCAGCTTGGGAACCTGTCTTGGAAATGTCCAGTCTGGTTGTTCTTAGCTGTTGCTAGTATTTGATAAGTGGTGATTTCAAGTGTTGGTAGGTGTGCTGTACACTCCATCACAGATGGGGTGTACGATGGCTGCCAGGAAAACTCATGGGGGTGCATTTCTGAGACGCTTGTTCATCCAGTGCAGCTCAGGTGAAGTGATCCCATAGCACCAGGCTCCTCTTGGAGGTTGTGCCAGGACTGAGGGCAGCCTTGGGGCTCCTACAGGAGCGGTGGCTATGCTGAGGTGGCCTCAGCACCTCTTCCATGGGTGAGTTGATGGTCGAGAATAAGGCAGTATGAAAGCAGTGGCCTGCTTTGAATGGCCAGTAATGATTAACCTTTGTCTTCCGTGGGGAAGTGGGTGGTAGGAAGTAGGTGGTCTAAAATACTCAGCAGTGGCCTGCTTTGAATGTCTGACAGTGACTTACCTTTGTCCAGGTGGCACAGTAAATCAGATGCTTCTGGATATGCACTAGTCCTGCTCATGTGCCAGGGAGCAGAGCACGGATACCTCCTTTGCCTCCAGAGTAACCTCTGGCTTTTCTAGGTGGTTAGGCTGGGCGCTGCTGCTATAAGACAGTATACACACTCTTCCTTGTTTTTTATTTTCAGTGCGAGATTAAGGTAGCACAGCCAAAAGAAGTATACCAGCAGCAACAGTTCAGTAGTGGTGGAGGAAGAGGTAGCTATGGAGGAAGAGGCAGAGGTGGAAGAGGCGGCGGTAAGTACTACACGCACTACTTTAGTATGGACACATTCTAAATAAGTTGTGTGTACTAAAATGGGATTTTGTGGATGGTTTTCCCTTCTATAGCTCAAAGTCAAAATTGGAATCAAGGTTATGGCAATTACTGGAACCAGGGTTATGGGAATCAAGGATACGGCTATCAGCAAGGTTATGGTGGCTATGGAGGCTATGATTATTCAGGATATGGGTATTATGGATATGGACCAGGCTATGATTACAGTAAGTAAAGAGAACTGTATTGGGTATAAGCAAACGTAACTAATTAGCAGTTTAATGCATTTGTTCTCTTGTTCATAGGTCAAGGCAGTGCAAATTATGGGAAGACACCAAGACGTGGTGGTCATCAGAATAACTACAAGCCATATTGATCAAACTTATTCAGGTATGCAGTGGCATGGTCTCTTTTGGAAAATGACTGCATAGGTTTTGTATACAATGCTGTAGATGGATATTTCAGTTCTGTACCAAATTTAACTTTACAATAAATTTCTATGGCCTGTTAAATGTGCATCTTACTTGGAAGAGCTCCCTGGAAATGTTTTACATGTTTAATACTTACAGATAACTAGTTGTCTAGACAGTGTGGTGTGTAAATTTCAGCCTTGCTGAAGATATTAATTAATGATTTTATTAATAGGTTAAACTGAAACTGATTTTGAGGGTCTGCTTAAAGCTGCAGCTCTGCATCTAGGGACTGCCTCTTGGAGTTAACTATGGACTCTGCATTACTCCAGTTGTACAGAATGAAATGCATCTTAGGGAACCAGTGTCACTTTCCACCTTTTTATTTTGTATTGTTTTTGTGTCATACATTTCCTGTAATGGAAGTGTTAATTTTACTGTACTTTTTGGTACCTTTTTGGAATCTAATGTATTGTAAGGTATTTTACATGTGTTCTGATTCACCATGACATGGATATTGAAGCTATCCTAGCTTTTGAAATAAAAAAGGCGTAATCTAGTGTCTTGTGCCATTCTTCAGCTTATGTATTAGTAAAACGCCAGTATACTGTTCCCAGAACTTAGTTAATGGCGGTACCTTGATAGATGAAGAGTTGTGCTTAAATGTTTTTAATCTTAAAACTAGAAGGCTGTTGGTAGTTGTGCTCACTTGCAGTTAAGTGGCAGCTAAAAACTGCAGTCACTTCTGCCTGGAGGTTATGGAAGAGAACTCAGGTGGAAAGCCCCAGATGTTGTGGAGGCTGTGCTGGTGGTTCGTGTTCTAGACAAGCACAGAGGCTCGGCATAACTGTGTCGGTGTCTGCGTTGTAGGGCTCTGCTAGGAGGAGCTGGAGGCGCAGGTTTCAGGTACAGCTTGGAAGTCTAGACAGTGCTGCAGGAGGAAGCTAAGAGGTGTGCAAGCAGCTAGCTGCCCTTCTTTCATGTTTTACTGTCTTGAGTCTGAGACTTTTCTACAAGTTCTTAATAATATGTTATGCCTGACTTGCAAGGCAGGTTAGACAGGCATTAAATTACCAATGCAAAGTCTGAATTACTGCAGCCTTTTGGTGTATCTTAAAAGGCTAAAAGAACTGCTAAAGTTGTGAGTGGAAAAACAACAAAACATCTCTCTAGAGATGAGCGACCAGCTAGAAATACACTCCCCTTTTTGGACTAGTTTACCACTATTTTAAGGCAATAAGTACCATGTGATTTGCCTGTCTTGCTGCAGAACAGTCCCAATCTCAGATGTATAAATAAGTAGCAAGTGCTGCTGCACAAAGTAAACTTCTAATTTTTGTTGCAGTAATCAATTCTATTTTTAACTTTCCTTCTAAAGCTAAAATATGACAGCTTTTTTTATTGTAACAAATTCTATTTGAACAAATGAACCAGAAGTGGAATGAAACCAAGTAACTAAGACAAGACATAAACAGATGTTAGTAGTGATCTTTTCAGTTTTTTTAACAAGGAACGCAGCTATTCCTGCAGGGACTATATTATGCTGCTCCCTGCTGGCTGTCCTTGAAAAGAAAAACTTCTGTAAAATTAGAAGTCTGTAAGACTCTGGGGTTAAGTGAAACTCCTGAGTATAAAAAAGATGAATCGGATTTTAAATCTAATAGTTGACATGACAGCTTTACAGCTGGAGAATGTAACCCAATGCCCTACTTGCAAATAAAAAAAATTGCAGACCACTGAAACAAATGAGCACAGTATTTAAAAGTATTACTGTCTCAAGATTTAAAATTGAAATGCTTTACTCCTGCATACCTGTTTTCTCATGAAATAAGTGGTAGTGGAATAACTATCTAGCAAACAGTTTGCTTTCCAGCAGGGAATTTGCATAGTATCAGGATCATACTGCTGCAGTACTTCTGGCTGGTGTATTAGCAATAGTTTGTCAGCTGGCTGTTCCTTTGGGGTTTTTTTGGAAGTAGGTTCTTGGGTAATGCTTCCTCAACAGGTGATGTGGCCTTAAGCAGAAATTAAGGATACTGGTAATTAAATGCAGAGCTGGCTTTCCCTTTCTTTGCATGAAAAGTCTGTGATATAAAGAACTTGTAATTGCCTGGTGAAAGTGAGGGCTTGTACACAAGGTTGTTGCTTATGGCTGTAATGTACTCTTAATTTACTAATCCTACTTGGATATTTCTTGAGGACAGAATATTTCGTAAGAACTGGTTTGGGAGCCATGGCCTCAGCTGTCTGTTTCTCATGCATATGATGTTATGAATTTGGGACTGAAGGTTTGACTTAATCTGGTCACTGAGACAGTTTGTTGACTATAGTGCTGCTAGGGACCTTGTTATGAAACTGGCTGCTGAAAGTGGTCAGAGGAGTCTGGGCAGGACTGGGTGTACTGGAAGCTAGAATGGCGCTTGCATTAGTAGCAGCAAGTTTAAAAAAAAAAAAAAAAAACAACAACATTGGCTCATCTTAATTTGCAAAAGTCAATCTTGAAATAGCATGAATTTAGAAAATGTAGTTTATAGTAGCTACTAGAAATATATTCCTTTATAATCAGTTTTAGATACGCTGTTTTAAATAAAAGCCAATTCCACACTCTGGCAGATTTGAAACAAGCTCTTGTAAAATTTATTTCTCCTAAAGCTTTTACTAAATAACAAGATAATCGAAAGTAAGAAAATCAAGGGTAATTTATCTCGTTTAAGACATGCTAGGATGAAGATTAAATGTGCATTATTACAGTAGAATAATGTTTCTTAGTAGTAGATCTTGAACATTGTTTAAAACCTATGGAAAGAAAATAATGTTACTTTTTTTGTGAAAACGTCATTAAAAGCAATCTACTTCATTGCCTCATTTTCGCTTACATTATATGTAAGTGTCATACTACTACTGTGCTTAGTAAGAGGCTTTTTGCATTCTTGGTTTTCTGTAGAAAATAAAGGCATTTTTCTTGCTTAGTTGAGATTGCAGAGAAGCACATTAAGTCATTAGGTCTCTAAGTTAAACTGGCACTGTTGAGTAATCTTTCTGTTCTCAAGAATAAGTAGTTACGAACAGCTGTATGTCTTTCCATTAACTTGCTAAATAAAATATTAACACATTTTTCTTGTGCCTGCTATACTAATATTGCACTGAACTATAAAAGCACATTTCTCCTTAGCTCAGAGCCATAGTGCTGTGAATCCACTGTGGTGGTTGAGGCCACCAATGATTACATCAATTACAGTAGGTACATTCCTGTCCAGGTACCTAGAGTTTTAATGGGTACTTGGTTTAAAAATACTTGGTTGTCTTTTAGTCAGAGTAGGTTGAAGAAGTGTACTAAGTGTACCAAAAGGTGCTATCACTGAGGTGCTAACTGTTAAGTGTACACTGTGCTCATGAGTGTGTGGCAAAATGAGTTGCAGCTAGGACGTTCTCTGTAAGCGAGCCACAGAGGGACCTCAACAGATACTAACATTTACAAGGCTTGGAAGAATTACAGGACTTGGTCTTACTGATGCCCACAAACTTCTGAGTATAGGGATAAATTGACACTTAAACATAACAGCCTTGAACCTGAAATGATCCTACAGAGTAGTCCAAAACGCTCAAGAGAACAGAAGTCATTACTATTTAAAAGTCAGATATTAAGTGAAATGGGAGCCTTGGTAGTAAAAGTATTGTTTATAGCCCTTCATAAAGCTGCTGGTTTGTTGATGTTTGGTAAGAGGAGGTTCCCAGACTGTGGCATGCAGAATGTATAGTGCTCCTGCCCTTAAGGGCACTTGAGGCAACTTGCTGAGTAGTTATGCAGTTGGAACAGCTGTCTAGAGACTTAAGACACTGAGCAGCTAGCATAAAAACTATGTTTTTGTCTTGATGTGCATGTCATTTGCATGCCAGGGGTTAAACTTGGTCACTCTTAAAGCTTCCCAGCCAAGCACAGCATGCTCTAGTGGTAGGCATTTCTGGGACATGTTGGACCTAGCTTGCAAACAAATGAATACATACAGTGGTTACTACAAGTGTCAGGCTCTGATAGGAGGTAGTTTGGAATGCCAGATGTACACAAGTCTGGCCCATGCTTCTAGATTGCCAGAAATTCCTGCAAGTTAACTTCAAAAGCTCTCCTGCCAGTGACAATGCTTGTAAAATTACATTTAGGAACCTTGGCTTTCAAATAGTAAAGGGTGACTACAGATAAATACCTGCTCAGGTAGAACAAGTCGATGTTTTCTTTTGGTTCAGACTTTCTTTTTCCATATCTGGAGAGAGAATAAACAACAATTTAGCAAACTTGTGACTTTGAGACAAGTTTTCGCACTAACTGCTGCTGAGCATGCAGGAGTTGTAGAAAAAGTGAAGTGGCAAATGCACACAGGTTATGACATTTAAGAATGAAGTTTGGACGGCTTTTACCAGTTGCCATTGATCAGATTAGTAAACACTTAAACCTCTGCCAGAACAAAGCTATTTTAAAAGGTATATGCATCTGTGCAGTAAATAGCTTTGTTAGAAACAAAATAATTTTTAATATATTTGAGTGATTTTAAAACAGAATAATTTAGAAGTGAAGGTGAAACTTGCATTGACAAAGACTAATTTTGCTATATGTTCAGTATCCACCATCTTGGCTTTGTTTTAGCACTTCTGAAAAACAGACTCAGCACTGTCTTTAAGGCAGTCCAACAGCAACCCTCTATAAGGTAGTTCTGATCTGTACTACCTGTTAGTAGTTTGTCAATAGTGTCCACAACAAATTTTGCATCCTCCATACTGAAGCACATTGGGGGCTTGAATTTAAGCACATTTCTTCCTGGCCCGTCTGTACTCAATAGAATATATTCTTCCTTAAGTCTGGAAAGAGAATAACAAAGAATTATTTTCATCTTTGCAAGCAGTTAGAAAAACTTATATGCATCAGCATGCAGGCTGTCCAGACAATGCCTTTCTGCACTCACTGATTTCTTTTTCTGCCAGTTGGCTGTATTTTAACAACTACTGAGTGGCAAGGTTACCCTGTAACTGTGTGCTTGCCTCACACATTGAGGAACTACGTGATTGTCCCTTGTACCTTGTTACTAGATGCTCTGCTTCTGCTGTAGCTGGGGTTCGTTCTGCTTGATCCTTGATTAAGTCCACTCCGATGAATAAGCCAGAACCCCTTTAAAAGAAATAAAAATAGTCAATCTATGTCAGAGGAAGGAACTGCAAGTGAACTAAACTGAGAGTTTTTTGTGAGACCAAACTTTACTGTATGAGAATTAACTGATGTTTGACTAGTTGTAGAAAAGGTATTGCTGTTTTCAAGAAATGCAGTAATACAGTACAGACTCTTATCTGCTTAGAATGGCAGCACAGGACATGTTAAGCATGTTTTCCATCCAGTTCATTAATTCTGTTCTTTGTGCACTTGAAGTAAGAGTTCAAACAGGAAAGTGAATTCTTTCAGCAACTAATAAATCAATAAAGTGGTACTGGCCTAGAGTGGCAGAGTATATCAGACTTTTGATAAAATCAAGTTTGTTTTAATCTAATGTACAGCAGGATGTTAATTTTTCCTGAAAACACAGATTTAATTAATTTCTTAAAACTACCTCAGTTTGAACCAAAGAAAAAGCATCTAGAAATGTAAATAAGGCACTGATACCTGACATCACCAATGATGGGATGCTTGATTTTCTGCTCCTTCAGTAGCTTCATCAAGAAGTTGCCTACTTCTGTGGCATGGGCCTGAAGGTGTTCCTTCTCAATCACATCTAACACCGCTAACCCAATCGCACATGAAACAGGGTTTCCTCCAAACTGAGCTCAGGAAAGGAACATGCAGTAGCCATGGAAAGGGAAGAAAGATGCAATTGTGTCAGTTGAAAGTGTAGCCTCAGTGATATAATGAGCATACTGTTATTTTTAGGAGGTGGAACCAGTAAATAGAATGTTATATACTGGAAATATAGAAACAATATAAACAGTAACTGAGTCATAAATATTAATAAAACCACTGCATGATGATCTAATTTTAATACTTAGACTCCTGTAGAGATATGGAGAGTTTGGGCAACTTTCTACTTACTGTATTAAAATACTCTACTCCCGTGGCTCCAAACGCTTCTGCAATTTCTTTTGTTGTTGCTACACAGGCAATAGGGTGCCCATTTCCTATTGGTTTTCCCATAGTGACGATATCAGGTATAAAATCTCCCTGGAGCTGGAATGCCCAAAAGTGCTTGCCAACCCTGCCAAAGCCAACTTGAATTTCGTCAGCAATAAATACACCTCCTGCCTTGTGTACATGCCTGTAACATAACAGATTTAATTGTCTCTTAAGAGGAAACAGAAGCTAATGCTTAAATATTTAAGAACAGGCAGAAAGCATTACTTTGCAAACTTTGAGAAAACAAACTTTTCCAGACCTATATTCTACATCATGTGCTTAAAAGCAGGTTTTTGCCATGCAAAGTTTACATTCTAACATGAAGGCACAAGCCATATAACTTGATAGGCTATCAAACTATATGCTACAGCAGGTAGAGAAGTTCTCCATCATCTATATTTAGCAAGTTTGTTAAACTCACTTAAAAAGTTAAAATAACGAATGACCACTTACTCTGCAACCTTCTGAAAATAGCCTGCTGGTGGAATGATTTGACCACCCACGCTCGGCAGAGATTCAACAAAAAATGCAGCAATCTGAAACATATGTAGCATGTAATGTTTGAACACAATACAGAACCTTGTGGAAATTGTGTTAACAATTAGCAAGCTCTTTGTCATTAGATGCTTCTTGCATAATTACGTGATCTTTTCTTTTTGACAAGCCCCTACAGTTTAGCTCAGTAATCCTGAACAACACTTGACAGCTGTGCTCATTTTTAAGGCAAGACAAATGGTTAAGGAAATTGCTTTTTACCTTTCTGCCCCTCTTGCTTGCTTGCTCAATAATATTTTTCACTTCATTAGCATAGGCTGTTGATGAATCTTCATGGTCTTCTCTATAAAGTCCTCTGTATGTGTCTGGAACAGGAGCCTATGCAAAGGAACAGTATCCTATATTCAGTATATTGTAAATAAGAATTAATTAATGAATTTAGTTGATAGTTATAGGCAGAAGTACATACCACGTGGACCCATTCCTTTTGTCCTTCTAGATTTCTGAATTTATATGGGCTTATGTCAATCAAGGATGTCAGATGTCCATGGTAAGCACTTAAAAAACAATTAGCAGAACTAAACAGTAATTTCCTCAGTATCAAGAGTTCTTTAGGGTTAGCATTACCGATAGCTAAAGAGTAGCTAGGCTCTGCCACCTGGTGGGAATACAGCACTTTAGCTGAGAACAGCTCTGCAACTTCTATCAATAAACTTAGTACTATTTGCATTTTTTTGCGTATCTGAAGGTAGGGGATGCAGGAGGACAGTGCTCCTTGTTGCTAGTTTGCGTGGTTACAACCAGTGACTAGAACCACAGCAGTATAAGTTCTGAGCTATCTGACAACGTTGCAGAACAACTGGAAGGGACGTGTCTGACCTACTTCTGAATGTCCTCCAGTGATGGAGTTTCCAGTCTCCTTGGGCATCCTGTTCTAATATTTAGCCCCCTTCATGGTAAAAGAGGTTCTTCCCTGTGTCTCATCAGAATTTCCTCGGGATTCAACTTCATGTCTATGTCTCTTTTTCCTGTTACCAGACATCTTCAGGCCTGGCTCCATCTTTCCTGCATCTTGCCACTAGACAGTTGCAGTAGGGGCCCCCTCTAGCTGTCTATTACAGCTGAACAAATCCAGTTCTCTTAACCTCTCAAGCCTGTGGCTCCCTACCCACTGTGACAGGCCACTGCTGGCCTCCTTCCAGTATATCAACAGCTGTCCTGTACTGGAGAGCCCAACCTGGACATGCTTCTCTCACAAATACTGAACAGGGAAAAATTACTTCCTTCAACCTCTTGGTCTTTTTGTTGTGTTCCTACTATAACAGGTTTTCAGAAATGATCTGACCACAGACCAAAACTGAGCCTTGTATGCCACAGGAGATAAAATAGCCAGTATACTTACTGGTCTAAAACGATAACGTCCTCATGTTTTGTATACTGTCGTGCCAATCTTAGGGCAAGATCATTCGCTTCAGATCTACAATTGAAAAATTCATTAAGTGTTTCATTGCAGATGTCTTGAGTTTTTGAAATTCTAACCTCCCTTGCAATCCTGTTTGTGTCTGCAAAGAACAGATGGAACTTCATAATCTGCACTCATTAGGTAGGACTGTTCACCAGAACAGAGTCCATCTTAAAAAGCTGGAGTACAGAAACTACTTCGGAAACAAGTTTGCCTGGGAATACGCCCCACCCCTGCAGAAATATGCATTTTTATATTTAATTTTGGTAACAGAAGTAATTCTCAATTCAAAATACAAGTCAGACCAGAAATTAATACAGTGTATATTTACATTAATGTTTTGTAGTCTAAGGTCTTACAAATAAAGCCCTTCTTAAATAAAGCACCAGTTTAGTTTGCTGCTAGCTTGCTAAATGTGAACTTCCATGTCACTGAAGTTCTAAAAAGAACCAGTTTCTTGAAAAACCCCAAACCATGTTTTTTGTCAATAGTTATCGTCATCCACACCAGATCATGCAATTGGCTGTTGACCAGAAAGTATTGTTTATATATCTCTAGTGAAAACAGTATCAGTTCTAATATACCTGTCTGACTTACCCAGAATTCAAAAAATAAAATGTGCATAACTTCTCAGGTAGTGTTTTTGAAAGTCTCTCTGCGTAATCAACCAAGTTGTCATGAAGATAACGAGAATTTGTATTTAACAGTTGGTTTTGCTCATGGGCTGCTTTTACTATATCGGGGTGACAATGTCCAACTGCAAGAGAGGGTGGAGAGTGGTTTGAGAGTTCTTCCATATTACCCATGGTGTTCATTCACTTAAGGCTTAAATTCACATAACTTAAGGCTTAAATTTCTCTTAATAGAACAGATATTATCACTGATGATTGTATTTCATCAGCAGAGCATTAATGACATTGTCAGCAGAAGACAATGTCTGTACACCTTGTAACCTTTCTGTAAGAACTTTCTTTCAAAAAGTTTGAAGTTGCCTGCTACTGTACTTTAAGGTTTGTAGTTAATAGTGGAAATATTGACATGCTAGAACAAATAGTCTCTAATTTGACATTTGGATTTAGAAGCTTACATAATTTAGGGGTCTGAGAATGCACAGGTGGGCTTTACCATCAAAAAATTATTAGCCCTGCCTGCTAGGGTGTTTGTGACAGCACTGACCAGGTAGATTTCAAATGCTGTAAGAAAGCAGCAGTTACTTCCTAATACACAATTAACGAAGGCACCACACTGAGTAGTGGTCATGTGGCTGTGAAAGCAGCAGTAACATTTACAAACAACAAAATATCAAGCCATTTCTTTGTTTTCACAGTCAGGTGCTTTACTTAAAGCTTTCATGGAAAAAAACCCAAACCCCACCCTGTAAACTTTAAACAAGTATGTTTTTAGAAAGAACAGGAAACAAGCCTGGAAAACAGTGACACAGAGAAAACGTGAACTGTAATTTCCTAAACTATAGACTCCAGAAAGAAGCCTATATAATTTTCCAATTAAACAACCCCTCCCCCAACACAGTGCAACAGTGGTAAAAAGTAGTGATTGTTCCTTGTTCTGCTCAGAAAAACATGGTATCAAATAACATGACTTTTAACTTACCATGAGCAACATTGTTTATGCAGTCAAGGTATTGCCTTCCATTCTCATCATACATATACTGGCCTTTTGCCTTTATGATCTTCACCGGATCATTAGAAAAAAACAGCTTGCAAGAAGAGCTGTGGCAAGCATCAGAAAGAAAAATTAATCTTAGTGAATTCTACAAGTCACACAGTTTATTCTGCTGATAATATTTTTGGTTTGGTCAGTTAATCAAGAAAAAGACATTTCCCCAGTTTGCAGGCACATGCTGTCATCCTCCTCCTGGCACCTAAAACAAAGCTTGCGATGAGGAACAGGCTTCGTGCCCTAAATCGCGTCAAATTTTGTTAAATTTTGTTTTGAAAATTCTTCACTAGGCATCTAGCTATAGCACAGAGATAGGATTTACCTCTGTAGTTTCATCCATTCTTAACTGCGGTTCCTTACTGTCTCTGCTGTCTTCCCTTCATGTTTTTGAAACCCTCTTTGTGATAGTTTTTATTATATTCTTGCCATTCTTGCTAAGGTCCTGATTTTCCAGGTAGTGTGGTTGTTAGACCTGTATAAAGCTTCACTAACTTAGCTGAAACCTTAAGTGATTTTATAAGGCTGAGTCTACTTAAATGCATTTGTTTTCTTTCACTTCTTACTTGTTTGGCAATTTATTTAAAACTGAAACACATGTCTGCCCAAGTAGGAGTGGCAGAGATTTGACTCTCAAGGGCAATACCAAACTTTCATGCTTCATTTAGAAGATTGCTTATACAAAAAGAAAGTAATTTGATCATAAATATAAAATCATTGTCAAATGAATGATAAAAGACAACGATAACATCAGAAACTGCTTTACTATCCCTCCCCTGCAGAAATCCTGGACTTATGTGTGAGCTAGCAGTAGAGTGGTAAAACAGTTGGGTTTTTTTGTAAGCTTACTTAGACTGTTCAACAGATACTAAGAAAGCAGTTGTGCGGGGACTGGCTCTTTGTTCCCAGTGGCAGGGAATTACAAGAAGATTAAATACAGGGAATGGTATTCTTCAGGTTTGTGTAACTAGCAAAATACGAATTCCAGCATTTTACTTCAGCCCAACTTCTTGATTCATAAACATACAAAGATTAAAGTAGCCTTATTTTTTAATATATAAGGCACAATAGTGAAAGCATTCCCGCAGTTAACTGTAACCGTTGGGCTGCCATTCCTGGTCTACAGAACTAAGAATTTTTTAGGTCAGGTGAAGCAATGCAACTAATCAGGAATGTAGAACTGAGTCTTGTACTTAATTCTGTTGAACTGGGCAGACATATGTTGTTCATTCTGTCACGTTTTTGGTGCAAAAAAAAGTTTTCTGAAAAGACAAGCTATAGGCCAGGCAGACCCTCTGCCTAGCCGGCCTCCACCGGCAGCCCCGCCCGGAGCCTCCCGCCGTTCTGCAGGTGGGTTTAGTTCAGCTCCACGTCGAGCTCTCGGCTGGGCTGCCAGAAAATGCTTTCTAAGCAGTTTAAAGTTTAAACAGCCACGCTAAATAGCGTACGGCTTTTACACTTCAGTGTCGTCACCCTCCCTCCTTAGGAAACGCCAGTTCTCCCAATGACACCAGTAAAACCAGGCGTTGCTGCCCGCGAGCCGCACGGGCTGTCCCCGCGGCCTTGCCGCTTCACGGCCCCGGTTGTGGCCAGGCAGGAGCGGGGCTGCGGCAGCCCCGGCCGCGGT